AGTAATATAAATTTATTAGAACCAAAAATTTGTTTCGCTGAATTTGTGAGTTTGGATGTTTTAGGGAGCTAAGTAGAGAAGTCAACCGGAATTTGAAATGTGCTCACATTGCTGTAACTCTCATTGCTCGTTAGAGTTTGTCATTTCGTAGAGTTATTCAATAGATTTTTATTCAATTTTATTGAATTACAATGACCTCGATAGGCAATGGCTGTGCTACATAAATATTAGCATATAGCATTTTAGGCAGACTTTCAAGAATCTGGCCAAGCATTTGTTCGTTAACGTCTCGGCGGGTCTTTCAAAACACATATGCAGCAGGTATTAAGGGAAAGTTTTTGAATAAAACGCAGTGAAAGAACGCTTAACATTAACAATTTAACATACAACTATGCAAGTCAGTCGTTTAAATAATTTGGAAGAGCATTTGTTTTTTGTTTTTGTTTTTTTGCTTGTTTTTCAATAATCAGATTTCGATGCAGCCGAATCACTTCAGTTGCTTGTCATCGAGGTGCTTGTGCTTGTGCCCGTCGCCGATCTCCAAGCGACTGCTCAAGCGCGCCTGTTCGACACGGGTGCGCCGCAGACGCTTCAACTCCAATTCGACTTGCTGCTGGGAATCGCGACGACTGCGATCCCGATCCCGATCCCGATCCCGATCGCGGTCACGCTCGCGCTCGCGCTCCTTTTGCTGCTGGTTCAGGTGGCTCCAGTCGTAGAGATGATCGAAATGGTGGTTTAGGGTGCGAAAGAGCAGGCGAAACAATTGACGCAAATAGACGTAGTCTGGCTCGTCCTGGAAGCGCAAGTTGCGCGCGTATTTCATGAACAGGGAGAACTCGACGGGCCACGACTTGCAGATCTCATCGATGCACATGCTGCGCTTCAGCTCCAATATTTTCTCGTATTTCTGCTGCTTGTTCGGCGCCACAATGCCCTGCCAGGGCAGCTTGCCCAAGTTGAAGTACATGATGCAATAGCTAAGGGACTCCAGGTCGTCGCGACGTGATTGCTCGATGCCGCGCTGCGCATTGATCGAGGCGTATCGTGCCGTGCCGGTTAGATTGCGGTCCTCGCGATACGGTATATGCTGGCAGCGCTCCGGATCCTGGTAGCGCTTGGCCAAGCCAAAGTCAATCATATACAATTTGTTGCAATTCCTGCCGATGCCCATCAGAAAGTTATCCGGCTTCACGTCGCGATGTATAAAGCAGTGCTGATGCACGCACTCGAGGCGCATCAGCAGCTGATCGGCCAGCATGAGGACCGTCTTCAGCGTGAAGTGGCGCTTGCACAGATTGAACAGATCCTCCAGCGAGGGGCCCAACAGCTCCATGACCAACGCATTGAAGCGCTTCTCGCTGCCGTAGTGCAAGAGTGCCGGCAGCCCGGCATGCGGGCCGATCTGCTCATAGACTTTTGCCTCGTAGCGCAGCAATGGATACTTGACATCGATCGCCTCGATTTTGACAGCCACATCCTTGCCGTCCTGCGTGTTAATGCCCTGATAGATCTCACCAAACGAACCGCTGCCAATTGACTTGAGCAAACGATACTTGCCGCCGACTATGCGATTCTCCAGAGCCAAATTCGCGAGGTTCACGCGACCGGATGACACCGGCTTGGTGGCCATCTTCTGTGACGGTGATCAGGCGTCGCTAACAGTAAAATACAATGTCTAGTTGCTGCCCGGTCATTGATAGAGGCGATCAATTTAGCTGTTTGCTGTTGAGCACGGAGTCCGGGTGGATACCTCCTAGAAATGATTGTTAAAAACGTTCTTCACTTAATAAATCGAAAAATCTAAATAAACATTACGTATGTGTGTATTCGAAGTGCCTGCTTTATGAGGCTGTCTGTGTGGGCCTAAAATAATAATACTCAATACTGTTAGGCATACACGATTTTGTTGAGATTTGCCTTAGCATAGCAGGCACACAATGTTCATTATGATGAACATCAAAATGTGATGATTATGTACTTATCATGCTGTGTATTACAAGTTATATACTATATATCATGGCATATTTGGCAGGGATAGCTGCCTGTTAATAACAGTACACACCAAAGTTAGTATTTCTTACCATCCTTTGTCAATATTTTTGACCTTTGTTCATTATTAAATGTATGTACTTATACAATATATAAATATTTTGTAGTCTGGCAACTCTTCATCAATTGAAGTTATTGTTAGCACTAGCCACATTTGACGAGCGGTTAAGTTGAGCTTAGTGTTGACAATAAGTCAACCAAATTTTCAACTGCAGCAATTTGACGGTCTGGCAACTCTATGTCAATAGGTTGGAGAGATTCGATAGTTATTTTCCGCTAAGGTCCTCAAAGACTCAGAGCCTAATTCATGTTTGTCCCACTTCAATGCCAACTTCATGTCAAGTATTTAACAGCTAGTTAGGCCACATAAAAATCGATTGAATAAAACAGTTTGTTGGCCTTGATGGCCACATAATTAACATAATTTAAAATAGCTTTGTGCCACATTATTTAATTATGCAATTAGATAATGGGCGCATCGTTTCGCAATTATAAATGATGAGCTAAACACGACGCAAAGACACGGCCATTCAGGTCAGGCCGTGAGTGAAATTGAAGCGACAACCAAAATATAAATAAATAATGAACCAGCACGTGGCAAGTGAAGCATTTTGAAATCCGCTTATAAGTACATAATAATCATGAATGTTAAGTTGGATGGTGTTAATAATAATAAAAATAATAATAATGTTGATGCGGCTGTTATTGCAGGCATGGCTCTCCCTCTCTCCCTCTCTCTTTCACTCCCTATCTATCTTGCCATATCTCTCAATTAAGTCCATCTGCTGCAGCCATTGCAACAGCACAATGCCAACTAAGAACAAAAAGCTACTTAACTTCCATGATGCGTGAGTGTGTGTAAGTGCAGGTGCATTAAATGCTATTAAAAGTGTTGCCCCGCCCCTCGTCTAGTCCACTGGCCGAGCACCTTTCACTTGGCAACGTCCATTGTTAATAATTTTCAAACAAAAGGCCACACTAAAACAATAACTAAGCAGGCAGTAAGTAGTAAGTAAGTAGATGACAATGCCATGGGCGGGTCGGGAGGCGGGCCGCTGATGTAGACGGTCAACTGGCCAAAGTCAGTTGAGTATATAGTATATGCTATATAGGTATATACATTTATATACACACATAAAAGTACTTTGGTCAAGCCATAGAAATAGACAGCAACAGAAAGCAAGCAATGTGGAAAAAAGTCAAGAAATAATGTTCTAGGTGCGAGCGAGTGTCGGTCTAGAAGATACTCTGTAGTTGATGTACGTCCTTACAAGTGGATTTTAGATTCAATTTAGATAATATGTAGTTTATGATAGAAAATTATATAAAAATAGCGATGTATTGAGTCAAATGAGTTGATTTATCAAGAATTTCAAAGGGTGCCCATAAAAGTATGCTATACAAAATGCGTATTGAATGTAATGCTCTAGCTTAAGCAAAGTTTAGGATATGAAAAACTAACTTTAAGATTTAAGAAATTATTATTGAATTTAACAGCAATTAATGGATGTTTATAAATGTTGATGTTCTTTACAAAGAATGTTGCTTTTACTTATGCAATGCACACAATATGCGCAGAAAAAAAAAATACTTATCTTGATATACATTTTTTTTCTATTCATATGTAATTTTATATAATAACAATAATTGAATGCAGAAAAGATAGTCAAAAACAAAAATGACATGAGGGTAGTCTTTGCTGCAAAAATTGCAGTAAAAAGCAGCACGATTTAATTTCCAAGTAATTAAAAATGTGTTCTCTAGCGGCCTTATGGGAGAGTTCTTTGAGACATACACAAAGAAAGTATAAAGAAGAAATTAAAAGCTTTCCTCAATAGGAATACAACCGAAATGTTTCACAAGTTAAGCCAACTGAATGTAATGAAAAATTACAGGGCATTGCAAAAATAAGTCAAATAAAACGAACAGAAAGAAGTAAAAGCAGCAGCGGCAGCAGCAGCTGAAGAAGCAAAAGTAAAAGAAAACGACGATGAGGCAGCAAATAAAATAAAACAAATATAATGAGATTTTGTGCGGCAGCCAAACACAAGCATTGCATACTTATCAGCGCGGCCAAGGCACGAAGGACGCGCACCAAAATGGCGGCTATCTTTTGTATGTGCGAGTGTGTATGACTGTGTGTGCGTGTGTGTGTACAACAACTAAATTTATTTTAGTTTTCACTATTTGCCCGGCACAAACGACAGCAGCTGTAAATGTGTGTGCGAGTGTGTGTGTGTGAGTGTGTGTGCCTGTTGTTTGTAAATGTCAAATACTTAATGCCACACACAGACACCCGTGGACACACACACACACACATGCACACACAGCGAGAGCTCTACACATACTTATTTTCACTTTTCACCAGCACAAAGCACTCGCTCACAAAGGATATTATAAATTACATACTCTGTTATTTTCCTTTTTACTTTTTTCGCTACAATATTTTGTTTCTGTTTTCTCTTTTTGAACTGTTGTTGTTTTTTTTTTCAGTGCCATTGGCTGAAAAAAGAAAAAGTTTCGCTTCTGCATGTGCAAGTATGTGTGTGTGTCTGTGTGTTATCATCTTTGTTGTTGTTGTTGTTGTTGCTTTAGACTAGTTTCAATTTGGTGTTATTGTAATTGCAGCAGTTTATGTTCTTTGCTATGCAAACTTAATTCCATTTTGCTATTTATGTGCTTGTGAAGCCAAGTGCTTATGTACTTGTTAAACTTAAATATCCTTTGCATACAGGGTGTCTCGCTTTTGTTGTTTCATTGTGCTGCATGTGCTTGTGTGTTTGTGTGTGTGTGTGTGTGTGTGTGTGTGTGTGTGTGTGTGTGTGCTTCTGTTTGTTTTTGTCTATGTACCTTGTTATGCAGGTCGTGCATTGATTTTGCCTTTATTAAATCAAAATTGCTGCCTATTAGACATTGTTGAACATAGAATTTTGCATAAACAGGGTGTTCAGGGTGGCACAAAATATTTGCCAAGCAATAAGGTAAGCATACAGGGTGGTTAAATTTACTTTTACTGTATATTGGACTGTGGCATTAATTTAAAATTATGTTCTAAATTTAACACGTATATAGGGTGATGATACGGCTTGTACAGCTGTTGCCTAAATTTCCATGAGCAGCCATTTTTATTCAGATTATATAACAGTACAAAATAAACAGTAGTACTAAAAAAATAGTTCTTATATTATATAATACTCTTACACCCTCACTAGAGCTAATTTTCGTTTTTGGGTTTTTGCTTTTCACAGCTGTCAAAAAAGTCAAGCCCTTTGCTTTTCCAAAAGTCCCCAACTCATCAATCAAGTCAGTCTATATGTCAGTCGGTAAAAACAATTTGATGCAATGTTAATTCATTTTGCGCTGCTTTAATATATCACATTTAACCATGCTCACAGTCCAATCCCGATTTCCATTTCGTGTCAGCAACAACTGTGACACCCTGTTTATGGCAATCAAAGAAACAGCAGCAACAAAAACAACACGCAGCACGAGCAGGCAGCAGGCAGCGGGCAGCAGGCGGCAGGCAGCATCAGCAGCAACATCGTCAAGCACGAAAAAGTGGTCACCCCCCACACACACATACACAGTCAAAAGTCTGCACGTCTGGACGATTTGGGTAAAGGGACGGACATTATTGCTGCTGCCAGCGTCGCCGTCGCTGCTGCTGGTGGCAGCGACTGTACCCAGCGTATACAGCGCAAACAACTCAGCGAGAGCCTAGCTCTGTGTATGCTGACTGCTACAGAGAGAAAGAGACAGCCAGAGACGAAGAGCGAGAAAGGTATAAATTGGAGAGAGCAGAGAGCAGCATTTAATATGTATAGATGTACATATGGCGGCATATGGCAACATTCCACGCGCTCACTCAACAGCACAAGCAGCGACAGCGGCAGCGGCAACAGCAGCAGCAGCAGCCACAGCAGCCGAGGCAGCGCTGCCAGCTGCAACAGCAAAAGTTTGAAGTTTCTGTTGACGTTGGCAGGCAGTAAAATTCCATACATTTTGGCAGCACCACCCCAGGAGCAAGCAGAGGCAGCAACATCCCGTGACCTCCCCTCTGCCTATTTCAGCAAATCTTTTTTGCTTTTTTTTGTTGTCAGTGGGGTGGGTTGAGTATGTGTGTGTGCGTGTGTGCAGCAACGGCGACGGCGACTGCGACTGCGGCTGCGATGTTGCCGGGACTATAAAAATGGATTTTTATTATGCTGCTGCTGCTGCTGCTGTTGTTGTTGTTGTTGTTGTTATTGCTGCTGCTGCTTCTTCTCTTTGTTGTTGATATCTCTGTGGGCAAAGGCTGAGATGCTGAAAACTTTCTCTCAGCACGCGTACATAACAGTTAGCATTGAAAGCGCTTTGAGCTTTGAGCAAAAGTTTGACCAAGCTGTGGCAAAGCTTTATGTGTGTGCGTGCGTGCGAGCGAGATGGCGCTATTTAGAAAGTTGAATTTGATTAAATAATTAAAGAAAAATACGGCACATAAATTGTCAGCGAAAATTTAAAGCTGTATTTTATGGTCGCAGAGCACTGCGATGAAGACAGTAACATTGTGTGAAGGAAGAGAGACAGAGAGAGAGAGAGAGCAGATTTTTAATATATGTATAGAGAGAGAGTA